TGCATGGCCCCTGGATATCTGGTACTGTCCTCAGATGCTTGTTTCTGTGGAAAACATTCAAAATATTTCCAAGAGCTAGCAAAAAGGCTACCTCCCATTTTTCCTGAGCGTAATATGGGAAGGAGCCCTCCACCACAGTGTTTCAAAGGAAACTAATGGAATGAAAAAACCATCCTTAGACCCGGCCTAATTAGCTGACTACCAGTGGTCTCAAATTTGCCCTATTTGGGCAAATTATTGCAGAGAGCGGTGGCGATTCAGTTGCAGAGCTTTATGGATGACCCTTCCATGCTAGATCTTTTCCAGTTCAGCTTTCGTCCAGGCCATGGGACGGAGACAGCACTGGTCGCCCTCACAGATGACCTCCAGAGACATCTGGATCGAGGCGGTATGGTGGTACTGTTGCTGTTGGACCTGTTGGTGGCGTTTGACACAGTTGACCATCAGTTATTGGTCCACCGCCTCGCTGACACTGGGATACAGGGGCTTGCCTTCCAATGGCTTGTCTCCTTTCTCCAAGGTCGGGGACAGAGAGTGGCGCTAGGGGAGCAGACATCCCAGAGGTACCCGCTGGTCTGCAGGGTTCCCCAGGGAGCAGTGTTGTCCCCAATGTTATTCAACATCTATATGCACCCTCTCGCCCAGATTGCCCAGAGGCATAGGCTAGGGTGTCACCAATATGCATATGAGACCCAGCTATATCTGCTGTTGGACGGTCAGTCTGGCTATACCTCAGATGACCTGGATCGGGGGCTTCAGGACGTGGAGGGCTAGCTTAGACTGAGTCAACTGAAATTGAATCCGACGAAGACGGAGGTCCTGTGCCTGAGTTGGAGCAGGTCGGGGGCAGGGATCCCCCTACCGACCCTCGATGGGGCACCACTGGTGCCAGCGCCGAGGGTCAGGAGCTTGGGAGTACTCCTGGATGCCAGCTTAACAATGGAGGCCCAGGTAGCAGCCCCTGCCAAGGCAGCCTTTTACCATCTACGGCTGATTAGGCAGTTGGTTCCCTTCCTCGAACACAATGACCTGGCAACGGTGATCCATGCTATCGTCACCTCGAGACTGGGCTACTGCAGCGCTCTCTACATGGGGCTGCCCTTGTCCCAAATCTGGAAGCTGCAGCTAGTGCAAAATGCGGCAACCAGGCTGTTGATGGGCCTCTCCACTCGAGAGCACATCCGGCCTATGCTGAAGGCATTACACTGGCTGCCAATAGCATACTGGATTCGCTTCAAGGTGCTGGTTTTGACCTTTAAAGCCCTACATGGCCAGGGGCCTGCCTACCTGAGGGATTGCCTTTCCCCACATGTTCCCCAGAGAGCACAGAGGTCAGGGACCCCAAACCGCCTGACTCTACCCAGTCCAAAAGATGCCAGATTGGCCATCACCAGAGCTAGGGCCTTCTCAGTGGCGGCTCCACATTGGTGGAATGAGCTCCCAGAGGACATCAGGGCCCTGCGGGACCTTCTACAGTTCCACAGGGCCTGTAAATGGAGCTCTTCCACTGGACCTTCGATTAGGAGCCATCACTGATGAACGAGCTACAAAAAATTGATCTATCATGGCCCCATGTTACCGGCATTATGAACAACCGGGGAAACTGGTCTAGTTATACTGGACCATCTCACGACGATTGCCATCCACACTTAATCTGCACTTTGTATATTATTGTTTGGAATTGTTTATGGAATTTGTGTTTTATTGTATACTAAGAAAAAGGCCCATTGTGGAAATAAATACAACGGCCTCTAGAAAGAGGCTCTGGGCGGGTGCCCCGGCCTTGGACACTCAGTGTCAATTTGCTGTGGTGACCTCAACAGGGTATAATGACACTGAGTCCACCATTTTCTCCAGAGGAACTGATCTCTGCTACCTAAAGAACCGTTGTAATTTTGAGTGATCTCCAGTCCTCACCTGACTCTGAAGCCCTGACTGCTACGTCACATTGGCTGTCATATGGGGGCCACCTCAGCAGCATATAAGGATACAGAGCCCACCAGTTTCTCCAGGGGAACTGATCTCTGCCATCTGGAAAGCAGTTGTAATTCTGAGTGATCTCCAGCCCTCACCTGGAGATTGGACACATTTTACCTCAGAACAGCAAATTGTTTAGAATGTTAGAAGCAAAAGCTAATCAAGTCACATATGCAAACGACCTCTGTGTTCCGAGGCAAAGGCCAATGAGGATGCATATGCAAATAACCTCTGTTCTGACTGGCTATGGGAGGGGGGGAGGAACAGCAAACTGTTTAGAATGTTGGAGGCGAGACTCAGGCAATGCAGCCAGTGGATAGGGACACATTCTGAGTGACACACCAGGGCGCCAACCAATTCCAGAGCGTGTGGAATGTTCTAGAGAAGTGCCACCACCATTCGGCTTTTATATATAAGGGAGATCTGTGTTTTATTGTAGTTTTTAACCCATTGTACGCCACCTTGAGCCTCCTGTCAGGCAAGGCGTGATATAAATTGAAATAAACAAATAAATACCTCAATTTAACCCAGTGCAGACATTATGCCACATATACATACATTTATCCCCAGGGTTTGGTTTGGTTTTCTTTAAAAAAAAAAAAAAAGTGGTGCTGGAACTCTCAAGAGGGAAATGAAGTTTTCAATCTGTATACTGAAAACTAATGAACTTTTAAACATTTTTTTTAATTGTCAAAGAGGTTCCAGAACTCTGTTCCAACGCATTTCCCCAGAAAAAAGGCCCTGCTTATCCCATGTATCATGCCCCCATCTAACTTCCCTCCCTCAAAGGTAAGATTTTCCCTCCATTTTCCTTTCCCTGTCTAACTGAGCTGCCCTAGTAATGTATTTTCTTCTTTCCTGAAGAACTCTGACTGTCCCACCCTGTCACAGTATATTATTTTGGTTGTTTCCTCAGCCCAGGAACTTGAGGGAAGGACTGGGAGCCCCCTTTAACTTAAATGGCCCTTGAGATGTTTTTGTATTCCAAATTGACAACACATTTTATTTAACATAAAGGAGAAAGGTCAGATGAAATCAGGGGTAACATTTCTGAGGTAACTCAATATAGATAATTCTGAGATAAAGTCAGTACATGCACTGACGTTAGTTCTTATGTTTCAGGCTAAAGAGAGTTTCTTAAGCTTTTCACAGTGACTTAAATCTTTATTTGAGAGGCTTTTGTTCCCCAGAGTTTTCCCCAAACATTCCAGTACACTAACTCTTTGGTTTCCAGAAGGCTGGTACACTCTT